TGTATTCTTTGAATTACATTTAGGAAACCTTTTTATTATGTAGATAGTTGTTATCAAATGAAGTAATATTTATTTGAAATATTTATTTTCATTCTGTGTAATTAAAGTATTTTAGCAAAGAATGCTTTTCTTAAAAGTAACTTCAATAAAGCATTGAAAAGGCATTGGGAAATATCGATGACATTCTCAGCAAATAATATAGAAAGAAATGATGTATAAATTAACATACAAAACTGTTTTATTCCAGTATTACATGTATTTACACAGTTTAAACTTAATATTGACTATCAATATTTTGAATTTTTCTATCGAGTGAGTCGTCTCCTGAGTGTCAAATTTTTAAAATGTTATCCATTCATTTCATTCAGTTCAATTCAAACATGTCATACAGTTGTGTATCTTCTTTATAAACAATTAGACTATGATTTTCCTTTAAAATTAATTTTTAATTTACAGTCTTTCTAAAAATATACTAGTGCAATGTTGGGAATTCTATAATCATCTTTTTCTTTGTACTACTTTATGTAACTTTGTAATAAATTATAAGATTTTAATGGTACTATGGAATATTAATAATATTAATTAGGATGTTTAAACGTGATAAATAACCTGGTTTCATTGCTTTATTGCACTTATTAGAGCTATGTCTGGTGGGAGAATGAAATCATGTATTTTTTTTGTTTCTTTTAGTAATGAAATAGATATCCTTCCAGCGCGATCAAGTGTTCATATTTTTTTTAAATAAACTCTAAAGGTTACTTAACTAGTTCTCATATCGTTTTTCTCGAATTGTAAAAACTTTTCTCAGCTATTACCGTACAGTTAATAAACGATAGGAGTACGTCGCTGATTATAAATCTATAATTAAAAATGTAGAAAACACAATGATCAAACCACATTAATCAGCATTATTTAAAGAGGGATAGCTCCGTGTGTAACTGGACTATTTTGTCACGGAATAGACTAGAAAATTAATATTTAATATGAAGATTGTAGACAAAATTGTCGGACTACCACTGTCTCACTAATCCTGATAAGCTTGAAATATATTGTAAAGAGCGTTATTTGTGACAATCTTTTCGTTTGAAAAGACTGGCGGTCAACTCTAGTTTCCATGAAATTTTAACACATGTGCATCCGTGAAACAACAGTTCAGACTGCACACTCTCTTTAAACTGCACAAACCATTGATATCGTTTATATAATATTGTTTATATAATATATTCCTCGATGCAGTGGCATAGGAACTAGGATTAGTTATTAGTTATCTTCAGTCCATTTTACGCATACCTATCGCAAAAGCTAATTGAAAATTTGTTTGATTATTAACACGTGAAAAAATAATCAATTAGATTAGAGTTGGGCTACTTTTTATGTCGTCGCAGATCAAAGGCATTACAGCATTTGGTTAATGCTTAAAAAAAAGAATGATTTGTGCCGTCATGAAATATTTGATTTTCTTGATAAATTGATCAGCAACGATATTTTTCATAGGTTAACCAAGTTGGCGTGATATCACACTCGCTTCGGGACACAAGCGGCCAATTGGCACAGCGATATGAGAAATAACTGAACCTTAATATAATTTATAAAAACTTTTGTGAAGATTAGTTATTAAAGTGAATATCAACAATAGTCACTATACCTTTGCTTCGAAAAATACATTGTATAAACAATCTGTCAACAGGTAGATATTAATAATTCGTACAATGTAGTCCACGACGATATGAACAGGTAGGCCGTAAGTATTTGTATTCACCTCACGGATGTACACGGATGGGAAAATTTTAATATGTGAGAAATAATTTTCTTTTTACTAATATTTCGAAAATTAGAGCCAACCACCAAGTCTGAAATAATGCCCTTTACAACATATTTCAAGTCTATCAAAATCGGTGAGGAATTCGACAATTTTACTCCTTAGATCTTTCTAGATATTACCACCTTGCTTTTTTCTTTATCATCAATAAACTTGCATTACCTTGGAATAATGTTATTCTGACTAAATTTAATTTCCAAATCGCCAACTATCTACAAATTTCAAATAGTTTGAGTGAAATTGTCGATTCTCTTTAGTCTAAGCTCTATAGTACAATAAATGATTACATTCCGGTGGTTCAAATTTTTAACTTATCTTTCTCTAAATGGTCACCAAGGAACTTAAAGTTCTAACTTGAAAAAAAAGCAGCTCATCGCTTGTGGTTATAGTCAAGAATCTAATTTTAGATTCTTTTGGAGCTTTTCTTTTTTTATTATATGGAGAAATGTTCCAAAAATACCTTGTCCCTCTAGCGGAGGGGACGAAATTATGTGGGATTTTTACTCACTAAAATCCCGACAGTAACCGTCCTTGCCGTGCTGAAGAAGTACCAAGGACTCGAAATGAACATAACCGATGCTCCCCGGTGGCATACCTCTGCGGAAGTAGTCCGCTCGTTCGCGAATCTATTCCGCAGCTTGCTTTTGCAGCATTACGCTTTCGCAGAAGGTCATTTCCTTCCAGGACTTCTCGCTCTGGACCATTTATGGAATAATGGCGGAAAGCTAGTGGTCCCATTCTAGGTGGGATCATTTTGACTCATTATTAGTAAATTTTTATGATCCCATTCCGTCGTTAATATCCTATGACAATCTTTATATTCAACAAATTCATTAGAACTGTGTCTTTCTTGTGTAAGTAGAAAATCAGCTCAATTACACCCGTATTTAAATCCGATAACAAGGCACTCATAAGGCCTATCTCCATATTGTACGCTTTTGATAAAATATTCGATAATATCCTTACGGACAAATTAATACCTTTTTCCAAGAATACTATTTCAATTTCGCAATCTGGCCTTATATCCAGTAGGTCCACTGTTATTAATTTGTATATCTTCACCAATTTTGTTACTTCTACACTAAACAATGGAAGGTATTTAATTCAGTTGGTCATAATATTCTCGTTCTGGAACTGTATAATTTTGGATTCAGAGTAGATATTTTGTTCTCTGAGACTATCTATTCAACTGATTGAACCTATTAAAAATTTTGTAAAAATACGCAATGCATTGTCAAAAGCAACTTGTACATTCCATAGTCTGGGCCCTTTGCTATTTATCATTTTTATTAATGACGTGCCTGAAATAATCGATAATACCTAACCCCTCTGGTTTGCAAATAATTTGAAACTTTTCATGAGTTTAAATAACCCACACGATGCCAGTCTTTTACAATGGAATTTGTATCAATTATCCATGTTATACACAACAAATGGACTCATGTTTAATCTTTCCAAATGTTACTTTATGTGTATCATATGTAAGTTAAATATAATTAATATATTAACACAATTGGAAGGACACAATACGAATCTTTCAAAAAAATTAAAAAAAAAACAGAAAAACAAGTTGACTATCCCATGACTGAACTAGGCCACAATTACTCTTCAATATTGCACTACATGGGCATGCGAACATTAGAAGGTAGGTCTGTTGTATATAATAATATTATATATAATAATCACGTATTCCTTTTACTTCTTGAGCTTGCTAATTTCAATTCTCCATTGTGTAGATTTCGAAACTGTCACATCTTTAATGGCAAAACATACAAAAATGGTAGATCAGATCAGTTTATTTCTGAATTTCATAAATAGATACAGGCAATCTGACTTTATGTTCTACAACTCTATTGTAATTAGCCTGTAATGGATATTTTTTTATTTTATACAGATATGCACTGACCTATCTTGACATACTCCTTAAAAGTGGACTTCAGTCCGTCGATAGGAAAACCAACTTTTGCTAGCCCAGAAATTAAAACAAAATACCTGACATACTGAATTTTTTCCTTACTAAAAGCATCTTACCCTAATATACTCCAACTCCAATTTTAAAAAGGAGCACACTTTTCACTTGCAACAAGTATGTATGAAATGGAGTTTCTTTCAAGAACTTCTTGAAATTAATACCATTGCAAACCTATCTCTAAAATTCGAAAAGATCATAGAGGAAAAAATAATAGAGTACCTTACTTATCACATTACTGGAGCAGCCAGATTTGCTTGCAACTCCTGCAACCCATTTTCATTCTTGTAAAGACACTATCTAAATCATATACACAATTTGATTTTTGAATAAACAATCAACTATATAAACTAGGAAACACAATCCTTGTTCAAGAATTTATCCTTCAACTATTACATCAGTAATTTATCTATCACTAAAGCTACTGATTACTCATTATCTGTTATATTGTTATATTATATTATATTTTATCGAAGTTTTTTAATATTTTCCTTTCAGCACTTTTTTTTTTTTTTTTTTACATTATTGTACTTATGAAAAAAGGAAATGTATACAATGCAAACAAAAATAAAGCTATTTACATCATACCATTTTTCTATTGAGATTTCCTGTCTCTAAGCGAATTCTAAATATAATCTATTCCAAATATGTGGCTTATTCTATATAAATATGTATTGTATACTGTATATTAGATATTTTATACCTGTATAAGTATCTATTGTACATAATAAACTTTATAATTTTTATTCCTTGTAATGTCAAAATCAAGCTTGAATAAAAAAGATATTAATATATACAAATAGCGAAATCTAATTTATGACATATCTAATTTCATTTAATCAAAATAATTCCTTGAACAGAAAAACACTAAAATCATCATAAATGATTATACTTTTTAAATAATATTAAACTTAAATGCTTAATTATAAATTATTCTGTAAAAAAAAACAATTTAATTAGGAAAATCACAATATTATATAAAATCATTTAATAAATATAGAATATGTTGATAAATTTAAAATATTTGCAATTATTGAAACTATACATTTTTATTTTAAAAATTTGATATAATACTAATTAATTAGACATCTTAAATTAATTTTTAATTTTTAATTTTAAATAGAATATTTTATAAATATTAATATGTACAAATTTAATGTATAAAATATTATTGATATTTTACACTTAAAATTATTACAATTAGAATTTACTAAGTGCCTTAAACAATATTTGCTTCATATGTGGGAGTATTGTTAATAATCCTTTCAAAACTAAGATTTGATAAATCAATTGTTGTATATTTGCCATCAACAATTAATTCTGAAACTGCTCTACCTACAGCAGGTGCTTGTTGAATTCCATGACCACTGAATCCAGTTGCAAACATTAAATTTTGATGATATGGATGTAATCCAACTATCCCATTTTGATCAAAAGTATTAAATTCATAATATCCTGCCCAACAAGACTTTAACTGTAAAGATATATAAAAATTAAATCTTATATGTTTTCATATAATATCAATAATTCTAAATATAATATAATTTTAATAGCAATATTAATATAAAATTGTTTTTTATAAAATAATTTTATTATATTAATATATTCATATCATATTATAAAATAAATATTTATAAAGTATATGGTATATTATTAACAAATTTTCTATTGCAAATAATTCAAAATTTTGTTGGTAAATAAAATTTGTTTAACAACAAATACTACAGAAGTAAATTCAAGTTAGTTAAATGTTCATGATACTTTTAAATATAAATAAGGAAGATACAGTATAAACTGAGATTTGATATGTTAATTTCCAACTAATTTTTCAGAACTATTTCTATTTGAATAGAGATTAATTTCTAATATTTAAAACCATGTGTACAATTTCAATGTACACATTCACAAAAGAAAAAACATTTTTTCTGATTACATCGTAAAAAGATATATATAATTCTTGTAGATTCTGAACAATCTTATAATGAACTAAAAACTAAAATATATCTAAAAAATATGAAAAAGTTGAAAAATTTTTATAAATTAATTATACCTTTAATTTTTCAAAAGCTGGAACTCTTTGGGCAAGTATGGGCCAAATTTTCTCTTCAAAATAATCATAATCGACACTTAAATCTTCAATAGTAGGTTCTTCAGATTCCTCTGGTGACCTTCCACAAATGAAAGTACCTGCTAAACCTTCTCTCCTAAAATAAATGTTACCATTTAACTAATATTAATAGACATAGAATATTATATAATACACTGATGAGTATAAAATAAACTATTCAAGTGCAAAATATCAATTTATAAAAACAAATCTCTGTTTTCTATGAGTAATATTTACCTAAAATATGTTCCAGAATAATCTACTGTTAATGGAGTATTTAAACCTGGACCATCAGGAGAGTGAAAACAATAAACATATCTTTTCCTGTGATATCAATAATATTTATGTTAAGATAACATTCACAAATAAATATAATATCAATATAAACTTTTACATCATATTTATGAAATTATAATTACCTTGGTTCAACAGGTAGCTTTATTTGCAGTAATTCATTACCCATACCAAGTTTTGCCATTTCTGCAATTTTTCCACTGAAAGCACCAGCAGCCACAATAGCAATTGAAAATTGTATATTATGTATTTCACCCTCTTTGGTTTTTATCTAATAAAATGTAAAAAAAATAAGATAAACTCGATGTTTTGGTATAATTGAAAAATATAATTGTAATATGATACGACAATAAAGAATAGCATAATAAAAATTAAAAAAAACTAAACTAAAATGAACAAATAAGAATGTACAACTTATAAAAATGAAATACATAACAACGGTATAAAAATTTATGATGACATTGCACAAATCAAAATAAATATTAATAATATAATACTATATGATAATTATATAATGTATTATAATCATGAGTATAATAGGGCGATTCTCAATTAAATAGAGATTATAATATAAAGGATATCACAAAATTGATCTTGATATTTCTTTAAGTGTGATATTAAAAAAGAAGAATATCATTTTTTTAATATCGAAAAACCGGTCAAGGTCAATTTTGCAGCATCTTACAATAAATTTCACCAAATTGAGATTGTAAAATCGGTCTAACATACATATAAATTTGTTATGCTCTGTATATAAAATAGACAGAACAATAAACTTAAATATGGATAAACGGATACAAATTTTAGCCGGATATTTATTAGTTTCCTAAATATTAATAAACAAATTCGGTATTCTAGATTTAATTCTATTTATACTGGCATTTGTAGTACAATATCGTCTTCAATGTAATATTGATTGTCACATAGCCCAGAGCTTTTTAAATATTTTTATTCGTGACTCCATTTCGTCGAAAAAAATTAAAAAAAATTTTTCAAAAACACCATAAAACCATTCCCAAGAAATAGTACGAAATATGATAACTGTGTAAAAGAGAAAAAAAAGGAATGTATGAAAGCTTCATTACTATATTCTACATATTATAATTTGTATTATATTTTTAACTCTAATTATATATTTTAAAATCTCTTAAATAAAAAAAAAAAGGTGAAAAATAATCATTCTTACTTATTGACATTTGAGAATATCTTACAGATAAACGTTACAAATTTTTTATGAACAATTACCATGATCTTCGCACCCCCACCCCCTCCCCCCTAGACTTATTACGTCCACAGTTTAAAAAGCTTTAAAATAGCCGATAATAGTTTTAGTATTAACTTACAAGTAATTCTAAGAAACGTTTAATTTTAACGGTCTATATCATTGTTCACTACGAATCAATTCAAATTTATTTGTTTTAATATAACATTTATCGCACTTTAGAAATATGTGCCACGCACTTAATGTACTAAATGCCATAAAATAATGTTAAAAATTACATGAAATTATAACCGTTCCCACGTCACGAAAATATTTGAGCACTTCATAAATTCAAATTAAAATTGCTAAAATAACAGATTTTTATAAACGTTAACTTTTCATGTTTTCTTAATTTTAAATACATTTTAAGCAATACTCTAGTATATATCCTTTTTTCCCCCCTTCGAAGACTGTTTTTTCCATAATAATAATAATACAACTATACAAAGTAGTTAACTTTGTTTAACAATTTAAATTTCCAATGCATCCAAATATTTTCACAAATTAAAGATTGTTTTTTCATCGGTTTCATTTAATTTCTAAGATTATTTTATAACATTTAATTTCTAATAAGTAAGTAGCACATATTTATAAAATACGATAAATGTTTTATCAAAACAAACTAGTTTAAAGTCATTTCGTCCTTAATTAAAATACAATGATATAGATCATTGAAGTTAAACGTTCCTTAAATTTCAAATACTTTTCTCGGCCACTGTAAGAGTGCACATAAGAGTCCATACATAGACAAAATACAATATATAGCATTGAAAATTTTTTAATAATTATCCAAAATATTTGTATTAAATATATTAAAAACTAATAAATACTCAAAGGTAAAATTTTATATTTTGTATCTACTCCATATTTCCTTTCACCTTGATTGGCCACTGATGCTCTTTAAAAAATATTCAACACTTTATTAATTAAATCAATGCTAATATTAAACATAATAACTATATTAAATTTCAATATTATAATTTATATATTATTTTTGGCTTATAAAAATAATTATTGCCTGATAGCTATAAATAAATTATAGAACTAAATTGATACAATAACATAAAATTAACAAAAATAAACAAATATTTTATTTTATAAAAATAAAATTTGAATCTTACAACCAACTTATCCAGCTCTCCATATGATTCTTTATCTTCTTTATGAGTAAATCCTTGTGCTTCTCCAGAAACATATTGTGCTCCTAATAATAATGCCTTTTTCTTAAATGCAGAAAGAAGAGCCCATGGATCAAACCAACCTTCTTTTTCCAAACCTAAACAACCTAGTTCAATACCTTCTGTATTTAACCAAGGAAATATGTTTTTTAATTTAGCAGCTGATAATAAAATATTTTTTGCTCCAAGGAAATTTTGTAATTTAGAATTTTTTATTAATCTTTCAGCCCCTTTTACAGAAGCTAATGTTAGATATCCATATGGATGAAAATATGTATTAACAGCAGGTTCTCCATCAATACCTAAATAGTCATTGACATTGCGTATAAATTCTGCACCAAAGAGAGACATTTCAATATTTTCTTTTAGAGAAAATTGTTGACGTAAACCTCCAACAGAAAGAACTGTTGATGCTGTGGTATACTAAAAATAAAATGTAGAGCTATTCCATTAAATGAATTTTTATGCATAATTATAACTTTATTGTTTGAATTTAATTGATATGCTTTTAAAAACGAAGAAGGTACATATCCATATTTTTACATATTATAAAAAACCTTACCATAGGATCTTTCTCTACAACTATAACTCTAAAGTCATCTGAATAAACTCGTTTCCTTAACCAATAAGCTATAGAACTGCCTATTACACCACCACCAATTATTACAACATCACAATATTGTGGAATTATAGGTGGTCGACCCATCCAATCAATTAATATATCATCAACATCCCTTACAACAAAGGCATCTTTTATTGATGTCAAACTATTTTTTAATTTTTTTAATTTTGTGGAGTTAGAATCTTTTATCCTTGATATGATTTCATTAGGAATATCCTAAGAAATGAAACAAAAATTAATATAAACTTTGAGAAATGTTATAATTCCGGTGGCTTTTTATATTAATTACATACAAACCTAAAAAACACAATGCATGTTAGAGTTACATGTATAAATAGTAAAAACTTCTGCTACTATTAATTTTGACATAAATTATTTTTAACACACATTCTGCATTTTAGAACGAATTATAAAATTATTAAATCATATTAAATGATTAATTAAATCAACAATATCTTCTTCTCATTTGGTATTGTAATAACTAACAAATAATAAAGATAATGTTCATTAAATATTTTTATTAAATTGAAATAAATAATACATGCTTAATAAACAATTTTATTTTATTTTTATGAAATAATTTAAAAAATCAAATATGATAGAATTATTTTTTTGTCCCTTTCGTCTCAAAATCTCAATATTTATAAACGATTAAATGCTTTTTTAATGAAAGTATATAATGGATAAGTTATAATAAAATATCACATTAGTATTATTACTAATATTAAATTTGAATTAAAAAATTTGGAATCTTTACTGGATTCCATTTGATATTGCAATGAAAATTAGTATATTCAAAAACTAGAAATATATGAAACGATATATGAAATTCATCAGTAATAAATAGTTTATAAATTAATCAATTTATTAAATAAAATGTTACATTTAATAAATCAACTATTATAAATTTCTATACTTTCATTGATTATACATGTTGCGAATACTTTTGCAACAACTACTTAATAATTTTATTAGCACTGATAACTTAGATTTAACAAGTAATGCAATTTAATAACAAATTTTATTAAAATAATTTAATAAAAAATAGGTATATAACTGTAATAGGTTATACATAAACTTTATTACCATCACCTTATGTATATGTAATAAATATAAAAGTAGTACATTTTAATAAAAAAATAATAAATTTATTAAAATTATTATCAACTGTTATTAAAAATAAAGAATAATAACTCACTAGCCTATGCTTTATATACAGAGTAATAAATATTGAAAATAAAATTTCCTCATAACTAATTAAAATTTTTTATTTTTATCATTAGATAAGAAAATGGAAAATACAGTGTAAATTATTAACTATTTCCAAAACCACAGAGTTTTACATATAACTATGAGATGAATTATATATTACATAGCACAAAATGTCATAAAACAAAATAAAATAATATAGAATGAAACATTTTGAAGTTAGTTTTATGCATTTTTATACATTCATACATCTAAAAAATACAATTACATTTATTTGATATATATATATATATATATCATATACACAATGATATAAACAAAAATAAGTTATGTAAAATGATTTATGTAATCAATTCAAATTATAAATATTTTAAACAAAGACATTACTCTTTATTAATATCTATATAGTTACAAAAATAATTAATGGAATTAATTTAATAATGTTACTGCTACTATTGTGATATTATAATAAAAAAAAATAAAAAAATTTTTAAAACTAAAAATTTATTCTATCAGATTGTTTTATGTAAGAGATACTTAATTGTACTACATTTTCCTGTATATTAATACACTCAGATTAATAATCATATCATACTAAAAACACATTTAGTAAAAATATCAATTTTATTCTATCATAATTCTGGAGAATTAATAATGAATAATTAAAAATAATTTTTATTTTTACATGTAAGTAACATTGATAGTAACAAAATTATGTTATACATTAACGTTATTTTCAATGAAAGATTATCTTCATTAATTGATAGTAATGTTTATATAAATAAATTCATAATATTAAAGACTTTCTAAACAGAGAGTGTAGATAATGTGTAAAAGACAAATAATTTTTGTAACAACGAACATATAAAATTTATAATAATGGTTTAGGATAAAAACAATAATGAAATTATATTTATCATTATTAATAATATAATACAATTTTCTAGCAATTACAGCTACTTTTCTTTTCATACAAAATTAATTAAATAAATAGTCATAATAAAATTAATTACATATTCTTAAGTTATATTCAAAAGCTAACCTTTATTTGATATTGACAAGTACTTTAATGGATAAATAATGTAAATATTCTTTCCCATTTAATTTCTACACCGAAAAATTTTGATAAATATTAATTGATATCTTTTTTATATATATATTTAGTTTCAAGCAAAAATAATAAAGTTGAAATTAACATTATATAATAAAATAATATTTAATTTTCTAAATTATTAATATGTCTATAAGATAAAAACTAAACTGAAATTACAATAAATAATACGCAATAGAAGGAAGTAAAAGTAAATTAAACAAAATCAAAACAAATAACTTAAACAATTATCTATGAAAATTAGATATTATTTTATATTATTACCTTTTTTGTAAAAGTTCTTTTTGTTTGATACGATACATATCTCTGTAACAAATTAGTCTGTCCTACCAATTTAACAGAGAAACACAACATTTTCACAGTTATTTAAACTTTACTTATGCTTTAATTGAACTGAGAACCTTCGTAACATGTTTGGTTAAATAGTAATCTCGCGAATAGTATATATAATTTTCCAGAAATGATAACATTTACATAAATATTAAAAAAATTGATAACGTTTTTATGAAATATCGTCGTTTCATCAAAATCAAATTAAGATAAAACATTTTTATGTTTTAAAAGTATATTTTTCTTAGTAAACCTCATTTAAATGCAACCTATATATTAATACGTAAGTTAATTTCGTATTTAAAATAGAGAACATAAAATTTACAATTGATTATTATATTCTGTTGGAGTATACTATAAATAATATACTATACATGTAATAAACTATATACGCTAATAACGTAGTCGAATATTTAAAATAAAAAGTAAAATTGCTTGTGTTGATTTACAGTGTTTTTTTTTTTCTTTTATATATATGACTGTGGTTAACCAGATCTACTTTTTAATATGTTGAAATACATTAATGTAAACAAATGTCACTTCAAACAATTACAGTAACCTTCTAATAGAGGTCATTAAAAACGTCTAAATATTCACTATTGTATTAGATATAAAGGAATAAAGACTTATATTAAATTATATTGTACAAATTAAAATCAAAATTACAAAATTATAAAAAGAAATTATTATTAATATATAATACTTTCCTTATTGAACATATAAATTTTGTGAATAAAAATTTTTCACACCTCTAAAAACGATCGTGATATTAAAAATGAACAAAATTATTTGATTAGTTCTTCTATACATAGGAAATACATGTCATTTATTTTTTATTTACTCTTACGTGCTATTTAAACTATTTTAGTAATTATTCAAAGGTTCTATTAAAATAATGATCAATTAGATATTAATCACTTCATAAATATCAAAAACATCTATATTTAATAATTTATCCAAAAACTTTTCCAGGAAAGATGAATAGGATATAAATAAACGGTTTTAAGACAACAGTAATTCTATTAAAATAACTATATTTTTGTATAACAACAGCTTAAAATATAATGATGATATTTACATACATGTTTTTTTGAATGTGTTATAAAAAGATGAAACACAGTATTAAATAGAAAAGTCATTTTCTTTTAAACTACTTTCACAGATTAATATTTTTCCATATAATATTTTATATAATTCATTTACAACAAGATAAACTAATTTTATGTTACAATAAATCACAATAATTCTTTCAGCAGAAAGAATTAACCATAAATAATTAACCTCTGTTACTATGTCCATCAATCATATTACATGGGATTAGAACTAATTTAGGAATCATTCCAGGTGGTGCTATAAATTGTTGAGTATTCTGTGGTGTATTACGTCCAGAATACCTAAGTTCTGCTTCAGTTACAATTTTGCAAATATTCATTTTAATATCTGCTTGTGCTTTTGGAGGGAGTCGCTTAACAGTTTGTGCCATACTGTCAAAAAAAAGTTCTATACTACTTTTTCCTTCTGGGGCTAAGTAAACTTGGTCATAATTATTTTGTGTTTCCTAAAACATATAATACAATGAGTTCAAAATTATTCACACACTCATTCATTTTTTATAAAATTCTAAGTAACAAAGTAGTACATTAATATAAATTACTTTCTAGTACTTCATTATGTATAAAACCCTTATTTCGAAATGTTAATAATTTATCATTTAAAAATAATACAAAGATTTGAAAACTTCATAGTCAGAAAGAAAAAACTGATAAACAATAGTAACTGAATTTTACCCTCATACAATATAGATTAATGAAATAAAAATACTGCATTACAAATGTAAATAAACATGTTATTCTATATTTTAAAAAATAAGTTTGTTAAAGTAATGAAATATAAGGCAGATTTATTTTTTTTTATGTGAAAATCATTATAGTTGTAGAGAAATAAATGTTTTATTCTTCAAAAAAACTTTTTATAGCAAAAATATAGTACTCTGACAACATATTATCGAAAAACTATTTTATATAAGTGATATAATAAACGCTGGAGAATAATTTATTCAAAAATGTAATTAATCAAATATAGAAAAAATATACTAAATAATTTATTACTTCACTTCAATGTTTGGATATGAAACATATAAAGAATTTATATAGAATCTATATAGAATCCATAGAGAATCAAATATTTATTTATTTATTTATTTATTCATTCATTCATTCATCAGTCTACAAGTAGATTTTAATGTTTTCATGTTTTGAATTCTTTTGTATTATTTTTAAATGACAAGCTATTAACATTCCTAAGTAACCATGTTATTCCTACAAATAATGAAGTTCTAAAAAAGCAAAGGATATGTTAATATTCTACTCCTATACAGAAAGTTCTTTTAAAAGGGCAAATATTTTTTGACCCTTTGTATATTATCAAAATAAGGAATGACCTAAACTACAAAATAGTAGTTTTATAATTGTAACTTACTTCTACTTTGGAAGAATTTTTTGTAGAATTATTTACAGCTGGTGCAGTGACAAAAATTGGTGTATCAATTGTTTTATTCTTGAAAGATGATGTTTTTAAAATACTATAAGTTGCAGGCACTTCGAGTGATTCAACTTTCATTCTTTTTGGTCTTATTTTTCTATACTTTGACTGAATTTGCTGAGCATACGAATCAATATCATGTTGCATTGTATTTTCTGCTTCAATACTTTTTACTATATTATCACTATGATCATTTAATTCCATAGAATCACGATTTAAAATCGGATCTGCAGTTGTTTCTTCAAGAACTTCCAAATATTCGCTATAATCTTCATCGTTACGATCTTCTAATTGTTCTAAAAGACCTTCAGAACTGATACCACCAGCATTTATATCCTGAATATAATCTTCAGTTAATTCTATACTTTGAGGTTGATAATCTGATTCGTACCTGTTAATTATTAATCATTTCACTTGGGTATTAAATAAAATTAAATATAAAATTAATAAATGATATATATAATGTAAGATGAACCAATTTATCATTAGATAATAAATCATTAAAAAATTACATCATTTTCTTACGGAAACTTTAAGAAGCTAAGGTGATCTTCAAAAATCCATTTTTTTCTACGAACTCCCTTTTCTGTTCTATTCTTATATTTAAGTATGCGACAATAAGTATCCCTTAAGTTTTTCCATCTTAATCTCACCCAGGTGGCTGGAAGTATAGTATAAACTATATGTATATGTATGTTATATTGTAAATATTGTAAAATTAAATATTAAAATCTGTTTATAACTAAATATGAAATCAAGAAATCTTAACTATTCAAAATACATAGAAAATGTCATAAAATTTATAAATGTACTATTCCATAAACATTAAAATAAAGATTCTAAACATAAAATATTATTACATAGAAAGTAACTATTACTATTCCTCTAAATGTAATATCATATTTTATACACTATAGTAAATATTTTTTTTAAACATATAGTTAAATATTAATATAAACGCAATTTGAAATCAACAATAATTATTGCCCATATTTCTATCTGTTTTTATAAATAAATATTATTTAAACTTGATTACATTAGTTAAATTTTTGAAATATTTATAAAATAAAATTATATATAAAATTTTTATTCGAATAAGTTTCTATATAAAAGTACAAATATTATGGTAAACATTTCGATAACAAAACAATAGCATATATCAACGAACATATAAAATTATCTGAAAAAAGTGAAAAAAGAAACTAATTCGTACGATCAAGACCAAGTTCATCCGAAATCCTCTTCCAAACCTTCTGTCGGAATTCCTGAAGCTTAATAGAAGAGCCCTTCACTTCAGCACTGTATAAAACTGGGTGTTGTTTTATCGCTTCGATGATCTTCAGCGAAATTTTATGCGAATCAGGCGGCATCGTCGGCACCATTTCGTCCGTTGAAAATCGTTCGAAGAAGTGAATTATTGTCGTCAATATTGAAAACTCGATCCTATGTTTGTAATTATTCAACCGAATGAAATCTTTGTTATCTAAAATTTAAATCTTACTTTACAACATAAATATTAATTTATTTAATTGTGAAATGAAATTAAATTGATAGTTTCATTTATTTTAAACACTATTTGTGAATTAAATAAATAACTACATTAAAAGAGATAATACATGTAAAAGTTATATGTGACATTAAAGTTATACTTTAATATTGCACCTAAATTTGTAATAAAATCGGAACAATTTACTTATTTGAGAATAAAATTAAAGGGTGAATCTTTTGGTTAATTTATATTTTAAAGATTTTTGTCACAAATATTGTTGTTCGAAGCAAATAATAAAGCTTGAATTCATTGCACAATGATGTAATCAGCAGTTTTCTTATTCATTGACAAGGCTAAAGTTCGTGTCGCGTCCTAAAAATCGGTCGTTAAGTATGCTAAAAAATAAAGAATACGTAAATAAAACGACAATCGCCATTCTTTGCCATTAACTAAACTTCCGTCGCGCAGTTTAACCGGAAGCTTTCTGTTTAGTATATTTTTCTACTATAAATTGTATATTATTTATATTTTATTATAATTATTTTTATTTATTTTAAAATAACTATTTTCCAATATAACATTTTGTCTTTATAAAATTTTAATATACAAAATGATTCACAGACTGATAATGTTATTTAATATTCAATGAACTTTGAATAAAATGTATATTGATACAAATCACAAAATTACTATTAAAAAAATTGCAAATGAAAAAGTAATAATCTATAAATAAAAGAAATATTATATGGATATCATTCTAATATTTGTTATGTTTAAAACAATTTTCATTTTCTATTGCACATACATGTTATCGATTTATAAACGTTATTATTACAACTTTGTAATATCACATATAATATATTATTGTAATAACATACATGTAATAATTATATAAAACAATTATAAACTCAAAACAATTTTTATACTTGTATAGTCCTATCTACCTCAGTTTTGCACTTGTAGTTTATGACTGTGGTGCTATTAGATAAGTAACCTTGAAGGTGAAATAATATAAGAAAATTAATTTTGATTTTAAGGTAAAATGGCTGAAATACCGTCAGGATTAATTAGCCACGCTAGAAAAGTTTGTAGTCTTTACAAACGTGCTTTACGTGCGTTAGAAATTTCCAATCGTACAAGACATGAATATAGGTAATAAACGTTTAAAATAAATTTAATAGTAAAAATCATTATTTTTTATGTTCAAATATTAATTAAAAATTATTATCAAAATAGTAATAAAGAAATGTAACTTTTGCTTAAAAAAAGTTTTTAAACAATTTTATCCTGAACACTTTTATCATTATTAAATTATAATTTATATAAAGTGGTACTAATATAAAGGACTATTGGTGTTGATAAAATTACTTTTATAAGTCTAATAAATTTATATACTTAATTGTATAAAATATTTTATTATTATGTATTTATTATTTAATTATTATTAATTATTTATTTTAAGATTTAGTGTTCATAACATAACATAAATAGTTGTAAACCCTATGGTAAATTTTTAAAGATAATATGTGCAACATTATGACCTTTTGACTGAATTAATATTTCATTTCTGAATAACATATATTGAATATATTAGAAGTTTTTAATAAATATTCATTATTATGCATAAGGTATATTACTTTGATTTAGATATCGTGCAGTTTTATTAAGACAACGTTTTGATAAAAACCGAAATATACCAGATGTTCGTGTTGCAAAACGATTATTATTGGCTGGTGAAGAAGAATTATATCGAATGAATCAGTGTGACAAAACTATTTTTCCTAATAGTCCAGGTGGAATATGTTATGAACGTTATTTTGACCCATCAGATGCTGTTCTTGATTATTGGCATCCAATTGATAAAGCTAGATATCCAAAATATTTTGCACAAAGAGAAAAACTTAAAGAAGAATATCAAAAATTCTATAAGAAATTATATCCTGAAAGTTCTGAAGAAGCTAATAAGTCAAATAAATGATTTAAATAAAATATATTGATTCTGTAGATATTATAACTAAAATAAAGTATAGAAAAATGTGTAAAACTAGACAATTGTTTCATGTATTATTTTTATTATTTCATCATTGTAAAAATATTAATGGAATGTTAAAAACAAACAACATATTTTTAAAACAGTACTTTGAAACTTATGTATTAAACCTTTCAAAATGTAAAGCATATACATTATATGTATATATGAATGTATACATATACTGTATAACTTTTACATGTATTATGTATATGTATAATTGAAATGTTTCATTTAAATATGTTTTCATAAAAACGTATTTTCATATTTTATGCTTAGTCTTTAAATATATTTAATAAATATAATATTACTGTTTATTATTGAATTATATTTATTAATAACAAAAATATATTATTTTTCAAAAATAAAATGGTTTGGTTATATTTAACTATACATGTACAATGTACATATGTATTTTATTATTTTATATTTTACTATTATAGACAATTCAACTGCCATGTTGCAGAACTCAGTTTGAACTACATCAAGTACAGACTTGCAGATCTAGTATCTTGTCTTTTAATGATATATGGTGTATACATAATTACCATTATTTGAATATATTGTTAAAATTTTTCATACTATGTGAAGTTTGTAGATCGTACTCTACATATGTATTTATATATTTTAAGTTTCAATAAAGAATTGTAACTTATCATTAATTACTTTTACATCGTATTTTTTAAAACATGGTTAATCTAGAAGTGTATAAAAAACAATTAGAGAAGATTCATCAATATGCACGCGAGAATGGTATTACAGACATTGAAATTGATAAAGCTTTACAAAATTCTTTTCATATTCTTGAAAAAAAGAACAGAAAAGTTAATTTTTGTGTTCATATAAAACGTGTGATTATAATATTATTTATAATAGTTATGTGTTTTATATTTTTTGATCAAAAGTTCTTAGCAGCAGTATTACTGAGGAATTTACAGAATTCCATTTATCCAGGTTTAAAATTATTTAGAAAAATAGCTGTACCAATAATTCAACAGCATCCTTCCTTATCTGGTATGTTAATTGTATTTATTTTGAATAAATTTTATTAACAAGTTTTAACAAGCTTTCATTAATAATGATTTTAAAATATATATTTCAATTTTTTTTTTTTAATTTTCGTGTTATCATTAAATATGTGATACAAAATTTTTCATAACATATTTTACTATCAAATCACTATTTAATTATATTAAATGGATTTTTATAAAATTAATCCTTCATATCGTTATAGAATTTTCTATGAAGATAATATAAAATGTAAATTATTAGAAAATGATTTATAATAAAAATATACTTAAATATGAAAGAGTAGCATTTATTTTTTAAAATTACTTTTATATAATAATGTCATGTTGTATTATGATAATTTATTTAAGTAATATTTTTTTATTAGAATTTTATATTGTTTTTATTTGATTTATTTTGGGATTTTACATCTTTTAGAATTATATGATGAATGGTGCATATTAGAAAATCCATATTTTTATGTAAACGATATGGATTGTTGGCCATGTAGTGTTGTACATTTTGTACCTGACTTAAGTGGTCACCACATATCTAGATCATTTAATCCTGGAATTCCTTACATAAAGACAGAAAATTTTTCTGAAGTTCATATGGAAAATATACAACAATTATTATGGCAAAATTTGGAAATATTTGAAAAAGATGCTATGAAAGTATTATCTAACAATATAACTTACAGGTATTACATATGGTTAGTTATAAAAGTCTACATATACCTATAGAATTTTATATATTCAACTTATCAACAGAAGTTGAAAATACATTTGTATGTGTATCAATGTAATGCTCATATGTATATCAATACTAAGTTATCTTGAATTTGCTTAGTATGTTAATATAGATAAAATGAAAAAAATGCTGACCCTGATCTCAGGAAAGTCTGTATACACATATATACACATATATACAATTCACAGAAACATTACATTTTGGTTTATAACTATGGATTTGTAGTTTTATCCCTTCAATTTCGATTTCAAATGAAAAATGTATGCTATAAAATGATATGTAATATGGTATAGATTAATACTTAATATGATAAGATTGTTAAGGCAAAGTTATGCAATAATGGAAATAATCCCAGATCTGTTTACTAAAATATACTAAGTAACTGAGATATTTATACTATAAGTAGAAAGATAAGAAACGGTAAGGAGAATAATAAAATATTAGTGGTTAAAAGAAAACTATATATATTGAAAGAAAATGTAACAATACATTTGTAATAGCTTTTGAATTATCGAAAATTGTTGTATTTATGTATAAAAGTAAGTATAATATTTTTGGATCTGTTGAAAAACAAGAAGTTTGACAAAAATTTTAAATTCAAACTTATACGTGATGATGGACATGGAATGGTTTAGGATGTTATTGTGGTATCAGGAGTGAGAAATTTAGCATATAATAAAGGTATTATGTATAGTTTTAATACGTTGACTTTTACAAAACATTATTTATGAGAATGAACTCTTTTTTCAGTTTTCTATATGGTTCTATATTGTTTTCTATATTGTTTTATATTATTATATTTATTTCATCTAATTTTGTGAATATATATATTTTTTCAAATTGTCTGTTTATTTTTATTCAAATGTATATGCAATCCCAATGGGCATGTTGTTTTTATAATAATAGACCAATATATTTAATAGTGATGATTTGGCACTAAATACATTAAGTATCTTAGCATACTGCAAGATTATTTCAAATTTTCAGTTCTTTTGAAGCTTAGTATTTAGTTAATATTCTAATAGCATACCAATCCAAAATATATGATCTAAATTGTTAAGAATTATTTATTATATAGTGTGTTCACTTTAATGCAAAACATGATTTTTCAATCATTTAATTACGTAAGAAAGAAGATTATTAACCCACACTTATTTTTGTTGAATTCACAACAAATACTAATAACATGAATCTTCAAAATTATTCCTTTTCATATAATAAATGAAGATTATCTTAAAGTTTGTATATTGAATTATACATATGTCTTCTATTGCATCATAAAGGACATTAAAATGAATTTAAAAGGTATTACATGATATTTTTATTAACACAATATCAAGCTTACTACTAGGGAAAGTAGTAATATTTGATCCTTTGGATTGATCTACTGTTTCAATTTTGAAGATTTTTAAGATCAAATTATTAAAACAGAAGAGAACTCTATAGAAGAGAAAATGTTGCATTACAAAAGATAATACATAATTTGAACATGTATTAATCCTTATTCAACCTCAACCAATTAATTCTCATTACCAAATCACTTTCGACTTACAATAGTTCATAAAAATATTTTAATACTTGTCATTAAAACATTAAACAATAAGAAAATGTATATTAGATCTAAGTTCTGAAGGTCATATTGTAATTACAATGCGTGTGTGCGCGCGCGCGTGTGTGGTGTGTAAAAGTGGAACAAAAGTATTTGAATGCATAAGGATTAAACAAGTAAATGACATCTTTTTGCAAAAAACTGTAGACATTGGTGCCTTTAGTTCATGTCAAAATATTTTGTAGTGATTGTTAGACTTTGATGTAAATGGTATTAATATACATAGTAATAACGGGTATTTAAAAGTAAAAAATGCGAATGTGCGAAAAAGGAGTTAAAAATATACAGAGATAAAATTATATAGATAGACAGATAGATAGACAAATAGGCTAGCTGAAAAAGCTCGATACAAAAGGAAAAAAAATATTCACCTGTTAAAAAAATGTTTACTTTGAATTATGTACCAGATCTTTACAAAAAAAATAGTTCCTTTGAATAAATTGTACGAAAGAAGTTATTCATTAATAAGACAAACTAAACTAAGCATTTGAAATTTGCAAAAGAGTATATAAATAAAAATAATGCTTCATGAAATAAAGTTATAGAATTAGATGAATGTTATTATGCTTAGAGAAAATCTGATTCAAAAATGGATGGAAACACAATGGTACTATTATAGGGGCATATGATAGTAAGTGGCATCAGAAGTTCTATATCTATACATGATAAACAATCTTGAAAAGGTATTGCAAAATTGAAATTATTGAACAATTTTTTGCTTCTAACTAGATAACATCAAGCATATGGCCAGAATTGTAAAAAAGTGATTATTGTACAACATATTCTATATATTATACAGGGTGTCTCATGGATCGTTAGGCAAGATTCTTCAAGTACTTGCAATAATTTAACAAAAAAATGTTTTTAACAGACGTTAGTGTTTTCTGGGTTCTATACAATTCCGAAAAAAAAATTTGTTTAAATATTCTTTTTTCAAAAATTTTGAAGGTTACATTTGTTTTTTCAAATAGCACTTTATATTTTTGACCTAATATTCTCGTAGTCTATATCTAGCCGAATTTAACGATCTAGCATACCATGACCTTTGCATGATCCTGAATGAGTGATAATAACTTGTGTGTATAATTAAGATTTGAAATTACATTCACATCAGGAACCTCGAGTAAATGTTGTATTACTAGAAACTTATTTAAGAACTTATCTACCAACTGCCAATAATTTACAAAAAAAAAAAAATGTGAACTTATGACAGCTTAGTTTAGCACTTTACGGACGGGTCACATAGTTTGGAGAACATTGGCTGGGCACTTGTGGTCCTACTGCTTAATTATCATGATCCCCGAATTTGTTGTCACTTAATTTTTTTCTATGGGGTCACCTGCAGTCAATAGTTTAAATAATAATTTAATAATAATATTTAATGTTTTTTAATAATAACATTTAAATATTCCATATCTTCTATCGGAGCAGCATAAACTATTCACTGTAAATGATTGTTATTTTTTGTTGTTATTTTTATTTTTTTGCCTTCAAGATCATGCGAAAGTCATGGTATGCTAAATCGTTGAATTCGATTAGATACAGGCTACAATATTATTAAGTCAAAAATATAAAGTTTTATTTGCGAAAACGAATTCGTCCTACCAAATTTTTGAAAAAAACATTAAAAAAAATTTTGTTCACTATTGTATAGAACGCAAAAAACACAGTAACTTCTGTTAAAAGCATTTTCTTGTCAGATTATCGCAAGAACTTAAAAAATCGTGCCTGACGATTCGTGGGACACCCTGTATATACATTTATAAAGATTGAATATCTTTGTGAACATTTGTAAGTAGAAATCAATGAAAAATTACACACATTATTTCAAAAGACATACTGAAAAGAAAGAAAATATGGGATTACATGAATGATTGCACTGAATCTAAAGTAATAGGAAAGCAATTGAAGGAAACATAACGTAATATATACAACAACGTTTTAAGATTATAATAAAAACCAAAATAGATCTAAAGGTATATTAATACACAAAAAAGCTATATATAATTAATACTGTTTAAATATTTTTGTGACTCACTTTCAATACAATTTCACAATAAATGTTTAATAACTTTTACGAATGTTACTCGATGCAATATAAACTTTGTGTATGTGTATTTTCATTCTTTGAAGTCTTAATAGTGTGTGTTTGAATACTTTTGCGCGTATTGTATATCATACGTATAATACAATCTGTTCATTTGCTAGGTTGAAACAATAAAAGTCAAAAACTTCATTGTCAATCGAATCATTATGTATACCGCCTAACTAGTGACTACAAATATAATGCAAAATGAGTAAAAAGCTTAAGATGTACATATATGTGTATAAAAAACACGCAATAAAACAAAATAATATCTTACATGTGCAGTATGTGTTTTAAACACATGCCCTTCTACTCTACATTATTAGTCTGTCACATTGTCATTTCAATCAGTATTAGAACATTTGATGGTTTTTCATATTCAATGATGATCTTATTATACTGAAGTATTATAAAATAATAATTGTCTGCATATGGTGCTTTACATTTACACTTTTCAAAAGTTTTGACAATTACGTATTATTGTTTCTTCTATTGTAAACTTGTGAAACAAAATTATTACACTAGTTATTACATAATAAAATGTAAAAAAATATGCTTTTTGAATTTGTTTTAACATTTTTCATAAAATATTAAAGTTCTAAAAATTAAAAGAAATTAAAAGAAAGAAATGTGATTTTTAATTTGCTAGGAAAATAATTTAAAAAATTTTTATTATTCAAAAAAATTTTGGTTCATAACTTTATCTTTTTCTTGTGTGGCCATAAATGGCTGAAAATATATGCTTGGCATTAGATTTATCGCACTATGTAATATTTGTTTATGCTACCTTCATTGTTCAATCGAAATTTAGACGAATACATTTGGCTTATATTAAGTACTCAAATAAAAAAATATGGTAATGAAAAATGAAAAATCCAAGAAATTTATTTTAGATTTTTTATTTTTATTATATTTTCTTATTTGAATGCTTAATTAATAAGCCAAATGTATTTTCTAGTACATTTAAATAACACTAAATGTTATAAAATCTGTAATTTTATTAATATCAATATGGGTTGCATATCAGTACCGATACTAAAGAAGTATCTGCAAAATATTAAATTTACTTTTTTAATGATTTTATTTAAACATAGTAACTGTATGTGGAGTTTTGTGATATATTTTGTATTTTGTATTCTTGCGCCTATTCTTAGGTTTTTATCGTATAAACTTAATAAATAGTATTTTTTGATAAACATCTATTTAAATTTAATTAATATAAAGTTTAATGCAAACAAAATTATTGATACTACTATTTTAATTATAATATCTTAAATTTAGGATTTGTACATAGACTTTTGTGTCTGGCAATATATAAATAACAATAATACTGAAATATGTTTTATTGTTTTAGAAATATTCGAGACATTATGGAAAAAAAGATGGATTTAAATTTTTCCAAAAATTTAAATAATCATATTACATGGAGGATTAATCGCATAACAGCAGGAAGAATTTTAAGAAAATTATTTCCAAATCCTGTTGATACACCTAACTGGTGGGAACAAAGTACAGAAAAATTTATTTTCTTTGATGAATCGAAATCTCCATCTTATACATTAGTAAGACGTCATCTTATCACAAATTTTTTATTCGCATAAAATGCTGTCTCATAAAAAGATATAACTAATAAATTTTATTATTATTGATTACTGTTTAAATAGTAAAATATAACATTTTATTTTATTATGTCATATTATTTTGTGGCATTACATTCATTAATAATAGCTCTTGAATATATTATATTAGAATTAACCGTGTTGTTTGTAAAATGACTTGTCTAATAAATATAATTTTCAAAATTTCAGCCAAATCCTGAATGTAGTAATGTAATAATAAGATGTACAACTGGTACAAGATTGATAAAAATGATTGCAAGCCCAGAATGTATTGCATCTTGTGAATCCTTCACAGTATTACTATCTGCCGGTAAAACTTGTAAGTATTTTAACTCACAGTCATTTAAACAAAATAATTAATTTACGCTTAATTATCTAAATGATTTATTTTATTTTTATTGCCTAGGTTCAACATAAATTACACTACATTTAATATAAATTAACGTTTTCATTTGAAACACGTGTAATGATATTGTTTAAATAATTTAGTGTTGAAATATCTTATTTTTTCAGTATGGTATAATTGGTGGTACTGGCGACCAGTTAGTCTTCCAGCTTTAAATGCAACTAGTATTACCATTACCTATATGACTTCATTCTGCTGAACTATATTTTCCATTAATTAAATTAATTTTAAAAAACTATATTTTTACTAAAAGAATTTTCTATGTTAGTTTTTATTGTTAACCCATTTCTTTAGAAAAAATTTTTTGAACTTTGTAAATAAAAGATTAAAATATATTAACATTTACTCATAGCAATTTACATTTGTGCCTAATTTGTACAATTGTGATTTATATATGAATAACAATTGATATGGTACAAGAAAGAATAAAAGAAAATCAATACAAATAATTAATATAAATGAAATTTCAATTAGGGAATAGTGAAAAATCATAATGATATTTATGATTTTTGTAAAATTGGAATATTATTCTCCTTATATAAATAGACTATTTATTCCATAAGTAACAATATTGAGAACAAAATTGTACTTAATGAAAATAAATAGTTTCTAAATGACTTATTTTATAAAAATATAAATCATATTGAAAATATGCCAATAGAGACTGCTTTGGTGGAATCTTAGATAAGTCCTAGACAGTATAAATATTGTTATAAATCTGCTGTTAAGTAGCATGTACTGATAAGTGTGTATGTAGTATTTAGTTACTGTGTAAATTGCTAATTTTCTAAATTTCATTATGATCATATTTTATCAGAACATTAAGGCAAATTCTTCTTTCGGTTGTTTGTTACAGTTATATGTAAAAACATATAAAAACATCAAATAATAACAATAATGAAATACAAATTTGAGTGTACTTGTATTTTTTTACAATGCCATTACTAAAATCATTGATAATACAATGAATCGAAGAATATATCGAAGAATGAATTAAGAAAAAATTGTTTCCAATTATATTATTTCTTCAATTATGATTTCTAAGATGTATAATACTAAGTTCTGTATGCGATTGACAATTTAGAACAGAAGTTCTTATAAAGCTAAGTTATGTCTGTTTTATTGAAAGATTTGGTAATTCCATCAGAGAGAAAACATTTACGTATCACCATAGGAGTTAAGAATTGAAAGTAAAATTAAAAGTGCATTATGTTTTTATTTAAAAATAAATAAGTATATATGTATTTCTTAAAAATAAATAAATCTTTGTTTAATTCTGTTTAATGTTTAATCGAATTTTTGTTGTAATTTTTGTTTAAATAAAACAGGCACTAACGAAAGTCCAGCAAATACACATAATATTATAATACTATTCCATGACCACGTGTCACTAGACGAAGTTAAATTTTGTAATGTCTGACCTGCTTGAATAGCAACAAAAGATGGTGGGGCAACTCCGAAAAAAGTGCCTATAGTAAATGGTGCGAGGGGTACTCCAATTATAGGGCTGGCTAGATTAATGAACCAATTTGGAAGTAGTGGAGTTATTCGAAGAAATAACATGTAATTGAAAAGGTTGTCTTTGTGCTTCTTTACTGTTAATGTCCATTCTCTTGCTTTTTCTGGGAAATATTTGAAAAGCAATCTACGTCCCAAAATTGAAGAGAGGAGGTAACAAAGCGATGCTCCTACTGCACTGCAGCTGCATACTAATAATAAAGCTAAGGGAAAGGGAAAAAGAAAACCAGAAAGGATCGAGAGGAAAATAGAACCCGGAATAGCAAAAGTTTGTAAACTAAATTCATGTTAAGGGTTATTTTATGAATTGTACTTTTAAGTAGCTATATATATATATATATAA